GCTCTCCTGTCCCCCTAGCTCTCCTGTCCCCCTAGCTCTCCTGTCCCCTGGCTTTGGCTCTCCTGTCCCCCTGGCTCTCCTGCCCCTGCGCTCAGCTCCCGGGCTCCCCGCCTGTCTCCTGCGCCCCTCTTGTCTTCTGCTTGACAAGGGCTCTGGGCTCCATACCCCTTCCGGGCCCTAACCACGGGGCCGCCCGGCTGGCCGCCCTGACCCACGCCTCCCAGGGGCGCCCAGTTCCAGACGGCGGGCGGGCTCCGCAGGGCTGAGGCGGTAACGGAGGGTGGCGACTGCAGCCCTCTGCCAGTGCCGGGGCGAGCTTCGCTGGGGCAGTGCGGGGACCGGGGGTGGGCAGAGCGGGGCGGTGGGCAGGCAGGGACCGGGACTGAGGCAAACTGGGGGGTGGGCAGGGCAAGTTCGGGGTGGGCAGGGCCAAGCGGGGCGGTGGGCAGGGCAGGGATTGGGACTGAGGCAGGACTGAGGATGGGCAGGGTAGGGTCGGGGCAGTGGGCAGGGCAGGAAAGGGGTGGGCAGGGCCGAGCAGGGGGCCCTGCGTGCAGCTGGGACGGGTTTTCCCACCGAGCGCGGCAGGGGCCTAGACTCGCCACCTGTCCGAGTGCCACCTGGTGAGCGCGGCGGCCAAGCCCCTCCCCGCGGCCTCCCCGCCCCCTCCCCGGGCTCCAGCCGCCGCCGGCCGCGCGCCCACCCGCTCTCCGCCGCTCTCAGGGGCGCACGGTCGCCGCCATGCCGCGCTCCTTCCTGGTCAAGAGCAAGAAGGCCCACAGCTACCACCAGCCGCGCTCCCCGGGGCCCGACTACCCGCTGCGCCTGGAGGCCGTGCCCGCGCCGGGCAGAGCAGGTGCGAGGGCTCAGGGCCGGGCGGGGCGGGGGAGGCCGCGCCGACGCCCGCGGGCGCCGCGTGTGTGAAAGTCTCGGACGCCCGCGGTGCCCAGCCTGCCGGGGTGCCCCTCGACCCGCTCGGACTCACTCTCTGCGGCTCTCCCCGCAGACGGCGGCGCGGGCGAGGCGAGGACGGGGACCCGGGGCCGGCTGGGCCCCGACCCCCAGCTCAGCGACGCTCCCGATGGCGCCTGCGCGTCCCCTCCCAGCTGCGGGAGCAGCGTGGGCGACCCGGGCTCCGAGCTCGAAGACCTCTGGAGGCGTCCTTCCCCCTCGCTGTCCCCAGGTAAGGGGCTGGGGCGCCGCTGCCGCGGGGATGCGCCTAGGGAGCCGGGCCCGGGGGGTCCAGCCCGTCCTGGACAGCCTGCCTCGGTGTCCCCTCCTCCCGGGGCGCTCAGCCGCGGCCTGGCCCGTCTTTCGTTTGCCGGGAACTGGGGGTGACAGCGAACGAGCTGCCGGGATTCCAGGCCAGGACTCTAGTTTAGAGAGTGTCGGACCCGGAATCCAGAGCCCAGCACTCCTAGTCGAGAGCTGGGCAGGCCGGGCCCGCGCCCCCCGCGGACAGTGCTGCCCAGGATGTTCCACGCGAGTGGACGGAGCGGAGCCCCGTGCAGGCCGCCCCGCCGTCGCTGCGATTTTTAATCCAGGGTCTCGGGGATGCGCGCACTCCCCGCCCTCCCCACTAAGCTTCCCGGCTCCTGGCGATCCTGGGGCGCGGCCAGTGGCTCAGCCCTGGCCGCCTTCTCCCTCTCCACGCCGTCGCGGAGAGGCGAGGGCCGGGTGGGCAGCGAGCAGCCCGGGGCCGGCCCCGAGGGTCCTCGCCCGACGGCGCGGGAGCACCGCTCGGCTGCCCGGCCCCGCGGGCCCCCGGGGGGTGTGGCGAGCGTGCCCGGGGTCCCCACGCGGTGCCCGGGCGCGCGGACCCCGACCCACGCCCCGTGCCTCCTCC